CTTGGCCTTGAGGACCTGAGAGCAGAGAAGCACAGCACTGAAATGGGGTAACTGTGTATTTGTGTCAAAGCATATTGAATGAATTCATTATAAAAAGGAAATTATGCCATAGGCTTTATTGAAAATAGAGCCAAAACCATTTCCACAACACTGTCACCAGGCGACTAAGATTAAGATATTTGAATTTTCCTGGGGGCAGAGTATTTCTATCTTTAATTTATTGAAAATACTGTGCTTCATAGTAAGATCTTCATGCATTAAGTACTTCCTGAGCTCACTTGGCCTTCCTTCTCCCTGTTCCTTTCCAGGCTCCATGTGATTTTTGGCTCATAGCAGACTAGAATCTCTAACCCTGAAAAAAAATCTGATTTCCACCATCTGAACATTGTATTTATGTTCTGTTGAGAGTATGGGATGAGACCCGGGCAGCAGCTGAAGGCTTGTGAAAGTTTTCTCTACGTGGCACTTGGAGCTGTTGGCAAAAATCACAAATTAAGTTGAAGATTGCAGTTAAAGGAGATTTGTTTTTTGATCTTTGGCACAAAATTTTATTTGAGAACAATTAATTCTTAGTGAAAATTAGGAAAAGGATGGGGGGAGGGAAATGATGGTTGCCTTAGAAGTGTTTTTAAGGTAGGCACATGAAATTGAGAGCACTTTCAGTTAATTTTTCACAGTATGTTATTAATACAATGTGTGATTTGAGCACCTTGCAAAACCCAACTCTGGGACTGAAATCCAAAGTATAGGTAGGAAACTAATAATGAACTGACTTTTCTTCCCCCCCACTGTTCTAATGGACAAAGGCATTTGTAAAGAAATGCATTTTCAGTGACCTATAGAAATAGTTTGTGTGAAGCAGAAAAATTATTTTGTTCTGATGTGTCAATTGGGTAGTTTGTTACCTGTGTATGTACAAGAAGTGCCCTCAAGATTAATTTATGTAAATAAGGTGCTTTGTAAGCATCACTTCTGTTTTGAATTTGAGGGTAAGCCTCTGTTCTTACCTGATGATCATCAGGTACTTCATGAACACTAATTAGCAAAGGCTCATGATCTTCTGGGAGGCAAGTAAGGTTATAATTATGAGATCTGGGGACATTGAGGGTGTGGAAAGGGGCAGTAATCTGTAAGGTGTCTCAGGATATAGGCAGTGGAGGCGCAAAACTAATTTTGAGGGAAGCTGTTTCAAAATAGTGAAGTACTTCTGTTTAGCAGTCATGGATAAAAATCAATGTTCTTGTGAGCTTGCTGTAGAGCAGCAGCGAAGAGTTGGGGTTTGTGGCAGCCCTTTATCTGCTGTATGATGGCAGACAAGTTGTTTCCTCTTTCACCTGATACTGATGTAGCTGGGATAGGCTGAATCAATATTTTGGCCTTAACCTTGTGAGATGCAGAATTTTATGGACAGGTAAGCGATGTATGTGTGTCTGCTTTTCTGTTCTAGACAGCTGCATTTATTTTTGTCCATTTTAGAGTTTGAAAATTATGTGAGCTCGGCATAGTGATTCATGCTCTTTGTATCCATCTACAGAATAGGATAGCTTTTCATTTTCTTGGGAAAGTTTATTTTTCACTTGAAGATTTGAGACCTAGGTAGGACATGTTTCAGCTGGAAAAACTGTGAGGCTATTATAGCATAACTTTGCTTCTTACATGTGAAGACTGGCCAGTCTTTTGTACATGATCAGGTTTTCTAGGTTGAAGCAGAGTCAATTATACAATATCCAGATATAATGAAGAAACTTGGCTATAATGTGCTGTGTATTTTTTTTTCCTTAATGCTAAAGGGGGAGGCAGCAAGGGTCTGATGTATGTCTTGGGGAATTGTGATACATGAAGCCTGTTCACAGTGACATCTAGTATTCTTGCAAGTCTTGAATGAAGTCTTCTGTTAATTCTGATTCTAAAATTGCTTTGTGTTCTATTGTACATCATTGTGCTCTTCTGCAGGCCAGAACTGGGGGTAACGTCCAGCAGGGTATCAGGTGTCATGCAACACATGTTTGCAGTAGTAAGCAGGACTAAAGAAGATCAGGGGTCTCAGAGCAAATTGGTCAGGCTTTCTGCATGCTAGGTTTGTTCTTATCCTTCTGGTTTTCTGACAAGCAAAGCAGAGTAGATATGCAGCCCACAGATCTTTGGGATAATTGAAAACATACTGGTCTGCCCACAAGAACTAGACTAACTTGTGTGTGTGTAGCGAGACAGCTCATCCATTAAAAAAAAATCCTAAGCAAAAACAAAGCAAACAAAAAAACCCATAAAATTCCCAACGACCTCAGAACACTAGAAGAGGTTCATTTGGCCTTGGAGTAGAATCTGAGGAGAGCCTTCAGGTCTATAGCCTTCATAGTTCTAGTTTGCTTTGATTTTATGAGCGGATTATCCTGTCTAGACTCTTGCTTTGACTTGGATGCCAAAATAGAAGCAATAAAGCTAGCTGGCCTCTTAGCAGGTGACAAACCTTCTCTGAAGTCCTCTTAATTTGTTAGGGCCCATTTCTCAGTGCTGCCTCTCCTGACTTACTCCTCAGTAAGTTTTGCAAGTTTCAGATACAGCTCTGCTAAATTTAGCCTGCCAGATGCCTTCAATAAGCTCGAGCCCAGCTATCAGTTACACGGAGATCTGTTTCAGTCAGGCACAGCCCTCTGGGGAGAGACTTGCACTATTTAAAGTTGAATGAGACTGAGATTCTTACAGCATTAAGAAACTTGAAATTCGCTTTTTCTCCCTGATGTTGGTTCTAAACTAGTGTTGGGCACTTGTTATTCCCAGGGAGTGAATTTGTGTTTCCTGTTGAGCTGGAAGTTGGCTGCCTCTTGAGCTGTCATTCTGTATAGCAGTTCTCTTTTGGTATATGTTGAGCAGCAAAAGGCAGTCTTAACATGAGTTACACTAATGTCTCATGTAGCCTGTGTTATTTCCAGCAGTATCAATGTAAGGCATTGTAGGAAAAATAGACTGTTCAAATCACAGCACTGTAAGCTGCAGGCAGAGCAATGCAACTGCAGCTGGACTTAACTGGATTGCATTTGGTCCTACAAAATGTGTGAGGCTTTTTCTGGCCAGAGCCTGGAGGATCTTAGGACACTGGCATGCAAGAGCAGGAGTGATAATGCCAATGTTCTGGGCATGCATCCAGTTTCAGGAAGTGGTGCCTGTCACCTCTCTAAAGTCACACTTGTGTTCAGATTTGGTGGATCCCTCTTCACTTCCGCTCTCACATTGCTGGGCAGTGTTGCTGTGCACTTTGAACAGACAGCAGCCTATGCACCAGCAGCTCATTCCCTTCACTAGTGAATTCTCCACGTGGTTTTTCCCCCAGTGACCAAGTCATGGAGTGTAGCAGTCGTGAAAAGCACTGAATGTTTCTCATGAAAATGTAGTCCTAGGATATGTCAGGAGAATGCTTCCAGTAGTGGCAGGAAAAACTTGGTGCTATTGGACAGGACAATATTGTTTGGGCTGCTGTAATTGGTTTTGGTTAGCCATGTTTAAGGAAAACCAACTTTAATGAGAAGGAATGTAAGGAAGAGCTAGTATGACAATACTAGGAATTAAGAGCCAGCTTTACAGGAGAATTCCAGGAGCTTGGCTTTAGTTAGAAGAAAGGTATGAAGAGATCATGATAATTCTCTGAAAAGGCCTGTACAATGGTCCCCATAATCTCTAGGCAGCAGAGAGGTACTGGAATAACTAATTGAGAATAATGCTAGCATGGGAGCAGCCTTACAGTGGAAGATGTTTAAGTGACTTCAGAAGGCTGGTGTTTCATTGAGGACAGTATGGATTTGTAGAACACTGCAGTAGTAAGAGGCCTCACCTGATAAGCCAGGAGTCCCTCATTCCTCCGTGGTAAAAACAATTGCTTGGAATGGGGTGACTGGCTTGTCCCAGGGGCTTTGACATCTGAGATGAAGTACAGTTGACTATTGCATCTTCCATGGGATGCCAGTAGTAAGTGTGGATCTTCTTAGGAATATTAGTAGCATTGTAGAGTTTAATAATTTGTTATGGGAGGGCATATCTCTTCTGGGCACATCAGGTTCTTTACACATCTTTGTTCTCTCATATGATAATTTGACCTGATTAATTTAATTTTTTTCTTTGCAACAGCAGAGGACAAGAAGGTACACCTTTTCCTAAGGTGGCATCACAGGACTGGCCTAGTCAGACCTTAGCTGACACAGTAAACTTGCTTAAGTTCCTGATTTGGCTGAGACTGCACATGAAGAACCAGGTCTAGTTGTAAACTGCTGTCCAAAACAAACAACAACAAAAAAGAGCCCACAAAGTTACTTGCTTTACTTTGGTGAAAATAAGGGAGTGATAATTTTGAGTCCTCTGTACAAGTACTTGGAGTAGTTTTTCAAAGTACATGTTGTTCTATGGATGATGAAGCGTAGCACAATATCTGTAGACTATTTCACAGAGGTACTGGATAATCTGCATCCCTGTGCTCCTCTTGCACAGTACTTCCAGTTTAAACTGAGGTGGGCTGGCACTTCTGCTCAAGAACCAATTAGTTCTGCCTATGGAAACTTTTTTTCTCTTCTTTATTCTGGCAGAGAACTTGTGTGATGAACACAGTCAGGGGACTGATGTGGGTTAAAATCAAACTTTCCTTTTTTTGTCCAGGTTAGTTTTAATTGGTGTTGGTTCACTACATTGATGCACAAACATTTGTGCCAGCAAGAGGATGGAAATGACTGGCTTGGGGACTGCTGCTTTTGGCAGCAGTGCCAGCTTTCCCATTATTTTACTCAAGGCCCCAGTGGCACTTTGGCCACACCATCCTCAGGCAAAATGATGAATTCTCATAATGTGGGTCTTCCTTTCCATGGTCTTACTTAATTTACGTATTAAATGGTTTTGTGCATAATAGATGTGCTGCTGATTTTATCAGCTAGTGTTATACATTAAAGTAATTTATAGTTTGAGTATATAGATATGTTTAGGGTATTGATTTATGCTTCCTGCAGTGTTTCTCAAACCTCTTTCATATTATTCTCCAGGGTAAGATACTGTCCCTGGTACAGTTCTTGCAAGGACAAACCAGATAGTGACAGAGCATAGGAGACAAGCAGTGGGAGATGGCAGGAGGCAGCATGGAATGTGGCAAGTGGTGAGAGATAGAGGGGGGAGTCCAGGGGCTTGAGGAAATGTGTCAGCAAGTGCCTTTTAGCCATCTACTAACAGAGCTCATTTCTCTGGCCTGATGCCAGCCTCAGAGGTGATGTCTTGGCTCAGCAGCTGCCAGCCTTAGACTCTGCTTCTGCATTTATTTATTTATTTGTTCTCTGTCTAAAACCTTCTTGGTGAAGATCCATTTTCTGGCCATGTTTCCTTTCTTAGCCATCTTGTCCTGGCTGCCTGTAGTAATATATTTTTGTCCTGTTGCATTGTTGTCATAAATATTTCATAGTGGCTGTCTTTTAATGCCTGGTTTGTTTGATTAGTAACTAATTAATCTTTCAATAATATTAGAAAACACTACTTTATGATGGTCTGTGTCAGGGATTTTTGCTCTAAAGGAGACCTGGTGTATAGCAGCTTTGTTGTGGGTTTATCATGCTAGCATTGCTCATCTACTGAAGCTTGGAACTACTGATACTTTTTTGTATCACCAAGGTTAATATTGTGTTATTTGGAGAAGCAGTCTAGGCTTTCAGTAGCTGAGTGTGAATGTGAGGTTTGTCTCCTCCCTTGCTGACCTCCTGCAGCTCATCTGACCTAGCTGGGTAGTTGAGACCTGCTCCCTTTGGTTTCTGCTCTCATGCAGACTGCAGCAAAAGGGACTCTTCAGGCTTCTTTCCCCTCCCAGTAGGAGATTACTCTTTCTCCAGCAAAACTCTCTGACAGACACAAAGATACCCAAGATCCCACATGCCACAGTTTTACTCCCACTCTTTGTGAGGAAAAGGCAGCAGCCCTGCTGGCTGGGGTCAGAACTTGCCTCCTGTGAGCCTGAAGAATCCCTGCTGTGCTAGGCTGGGCAGTTGTGCCAAGCTGGGCATAAAACAAGTGCTACAGTTTCTCCACCATCTCATCACTTTGATTGCGTGCTTGTTTACCCTGGGAGTGCTTCTGTAGTGTGAGAACGTCATCCTTATTAGCCTGGCACTTGCACTGTGTTGGAATATAGTTCTCAAAGGGACTTGTGCAACTGGCCATACATGAAGAAAGGAATCTTGAGAGCAAGCAGTGTCTTTACAACTATTTGGGCAGAAAACAATCTGGCTGCCCATATCTATTCAGTAAAACAGGGCTGATATGAATTGTGTGCTTTTCTAATTCCATGTGCAATGGCTTTCTGTATATTCTGGTGATCATTTGGGAAAAGATTTCATTATCTTGGTATTTTTATTTTTCATTCTTGCAATCATTGTTAAAACTGCTTGCCCTCACCCAAGGGTAACTAATCTCTTTCTTTTTAAATTTTTTTTTTCTTAATGTTATTTTCTTCTGTGTGTACAGTTTTTCTGTCAGGAAGTTAGTCTTAGAAAAGAGAGAAGCTTGGTCTGTTTCTTCTCAGTATAATTCAGTGTATTTTAAGGTTGTGGTTCTGCTCTCAGTAGGAAGAAAGATTTCAGTGATGATCAAAGTAGATGCAGATATCACCTTGAGAAGAGCACAGTTGCATATTAACAGGCTTCATATATTTGCTGCACACAATACTGTTGGTTTTTAGAGAAAGATGTCTAGTAATGACTTTGTCTAAGCACAGGCTTTATATTGAGAGGTGGTAAAACTGAGGTTGTCTTTGAAGCATGGATAAGGACTTCATTTCCTTGGTCTCTGTTCTAGCTTCCTGTTCCTCCCATCTTTTCACTGGATTTTAATTTTTTTTTTTGTGACCTTGATGATCAGAAGGGAAATGAGTGGGATGATGTTAAAGCTAATACTTCTGTAGAGATCCATGTTCTCCTGTCTCCCACTCAGTAAAACCACACATATACTATGGTACATTGGTGTTTAGTATGGCCTGAGAAACTTCTGACTGTACAGAACTGACACTAGATTTGGGGCTTAAATCAGCCACCAGCATAAGACTTGAGTGCATGGGTTGGATGTGGCAGTTCAAATATGTATTGAGCTGACTGTTAGATGGAACAATTCTCTAAGGATAAGCAAAGTAATTGATCTTGATGTCGTTAAAAATGTTGCAGTATGTCAGATGTTAAGCATGTTTTGATTTGTTCCAGTAGCCGGATCGAGCTGGGAGATGTGACGCCACACAACATTAAGCAGCTGAAGAGGCTAAACCAGGTCATTTTTCCTGTCAGCTACAATGACAAGTTCTACAAGGATGTACTGGAGGTTGGCGAACTTGCCAAACTAGGTACAAATGTTCTTGCCAGTAATTGTGGGCTGTGGTGGCAGAAGTGGTCAGCATTGCTATCCATAATGGTTTCAAATAGCAACTCCTTCTATTTAGTTGTTTTACATCATGAAAAATAACTGTTTAAGAGCCTCAGAGAAGCCACAGAGGGTCTGTGTTCTGACTAGATTACCTCCACTGGGAATAGGCACGTTTTCTGTTCCAGAGGACAGCAGTTTTGCATTGCAGCTTACCCTGATGCCATTGCTGGTTGGTGTGAACAGTGATGAGCAACCACTCATCAAAAGTGTTGACACAACTAGTGTGTCAAAACAGCACTAGTTACTTCATTCCAAGTGTGAATCCACAATGTATGTTATTTTATCTGGGTAGGAGAATTAACGAGAGGGGAGGGAGAAAGATCCAGGGTGTATATGAAGGAGCTGTATGTGTAGTTTGAGCCTTGTTTCTGCTAATCTTTGTTTCCCTCCCTGGCAGCCTATTTCAATGATATTGCAGTGGGAGCAGTGTGCTGTAGGGTGGATCACTCCCAGAACCAGAAGAGACTGTACATCATGACACTTGGATGCCTGGCACCCTACCGAAGGCTAGGAATAGGTAAAGAGGGGTCTTCTTTTGTGTCTGAGGCATCAAAGAAACCACGTTGCTGTCCAGCTTTTTAAATGCTCTTTCAGACCTTTCACCAAGTTACTGCTGATTTCTTTGGAAGGGTCTTGGGGGAAAGAGTATGATTTATCATGTGTTCATTCTTCCCTGCCTTTCAGAAATGAACCTTTTGTAGAAATTTTTAATTCAGGATTTCAGGTTACTTTAATCTTAATCATATTATCATACTGTGATGTAAATACTCTGCTTCTATGGATGTGAAAATTGTTGCAGAGAGAGATGAAATATGTCAGAGATATGTGGCCAGTATGCAAGTCTTTTTGTCTATATTGCATTTAGTTCTTTGTTCCACATTGCAAACCCATAGGACAGCTTAATCAAGACCTATAGTAACCTCTTTGCCTTGACAAACTGGAATAACAAGATAACTTTATTTTAAATTATTTTACTAGGTGTTTAGTAGAAAAGCTTACCAGTGCCCTCACTGCTTTATACAATATTTTGGCTGTATTTTGAGCTGAGTTTGAGACCTTGAAACTAGTATTAAAATAAGCTGATTTTTACATATGCTTCTGGTTTGTTGTGATTTTTATTTCCTCTTCAAAGAAATAATGAATTAAGGTTTATGAGCAATCAGAGACAGAATGAAATATTTACACATCATGTTTTATTTGCCTTTCCTAATTTTCACACTTTATCATTTTAGTCTACCTACAGACAACCTGCCTCTCCTCAAGGAAGCACCTAGCTAAGTACAGACCAAATCATGCCCTTCTAGTTTTCTTAAGTATCTCTTTATCTTTTGGCAGGAACTAAAATGTTGAATCATGTCTTAAACATCTGTGAAAAAGATGGCACTTTTGACAACATCTATCTGTAAGTAAATGAGTTATACTCATGTGTTTTTTGAGAGATGACAAAGATAGATATGGGAGCAAAGGGATGGAGATCCAAGTGTGGGTTTAGTGTGTACTTTTGTGGGGTCATGGAACATAGCAGGAAAGACAGGGGTCATGTTCTGGGTTTGTTGTGTAATGCTGGGAAAACCAAAAGCTGCTTGATTTAGAAAGGGTTCTGCAGATTTGCTGAATTTGAAAGTAGTTTAGTTACAGAATTATGTTCTAGAGCAAAATTACACTGTAAGACCAAAAAAAAATTTTTTAAAAAGGATTTTATTTTTATTATACAAGGTCATCTTCAGAATGGAAAATACTGCAAGTCTTAAATACAGTTTTGATGCTTTTGCTTTCTGTCTTTTATGACAGCACTCTGTGGTGCAGCACTCTGGAATATTAGAGATGTTTGCAAGCACTGAAAGTTTACTCCATTCAGTAGTAAGGCCCAACTGCTATTCCCATTCTTGCACACTGCTAGTCAGCTCTTTGTGCAGCAACACAATAAACTAGATCAGTGCCCTGACCCAACTGGGGAAACTGTTTTCTGGGTGTTGGTTTTTTTTCTTCTAGTGTGGTTTTGGGTTTTGGGGGTGGTTTTCTTGTGCTTAGTTTTGGTTATTTTTAAAATCTGTGTAAGCACTTGGCATGATGCAGGCAAGAGAACAAGCACTGGAGTAGAGGGCAGTACCAGCAGTCCCCGTGGAAAGAGTCTGAAATCCATACATGCCAAAACTGTGCTTGTCCTTTGCTGCTGGTTTCACACTTGTGCTTTTTGGTGTGCATTGGTGTCTGTGTGGTGAGCAAGTGAGTTTGGTTTGATGGCAGTTCTTGGCCTGATGCTTCTCTGAGCCAACTCCTCCTTGTCCGTCACTACCTCGGCCATCACACCAGTGCAAGCACAATGCACTGCTGGGGACAGCCCCACAGCAGGTACAGCCTGGATGGACTTACACTGCCACAGAACTACACCCTGGATACTTGCCAGGCCTGTGGAAGATGCTGTGTGAGGAGTGTTTATACACTGATATCGCTGTAAATGGAGTGACTTTCTCCTCAAACTCAAACTCCTCAAATGGAGTGACTTTCTCCTCAAACTCAGTCCATTTCTGCCATGGAGGTGTGGACTCTTCCACATCCTCTGCTGCTGTTGCTTTGTGCCACCTTTGTAAGAGGAACGTGCTTCAAAGAGGTGTCTGAGTAAAGTTGCCTTTGGCTCATATTCCCTCCTGCTCTCCTGCCTCAGGAGAAGTGGTAAAACTTCCGAGGTGCCTGCATAATGGGACAGGGGCTGTCCTTTTTGCTTTTGCATCTTACTGTGTGCACAGTGAAGGAACTGTTTGCTGGTTTTAATACAAAAAAAAACCCCAAATCCTTCATAATCCTTCTTTATAGTTCTGTGGTGGTTTGACCAGGAAGGAGTGGGAATTCTGGGAAGCTGTGGTCAAACCAATGAAGGTTTTGGGTTTGAGACTGGCACCCGGTGTAGCCAGTGGGGTTTGGACACACCTCCGAGAATACACAGGGGTTAAAAGCAGGGCACTG